TCTTCCATCCCCTGCCTGGTTGAATCCTGCTTATCCTTCGGCTTTCAGCCACATTGTCCCAAATTCAGAGAGCTTCCCTGACCCCTCACCCACCCCAACCCCCAAGTTCTAAATTAGGTCTTCCCTGGACTGGTGTAAATGCATTATGGAGTATCCGTTCATTGATACTAGGTGGGCACTTAAAAAAATAGGACGTATCAGCACATTATCAGGAAGGGTAAAGCAAATTGCAGAACAACATGTATGGAAAGTAATCCCATTCTTAAACAGTTTTTAAAAGAGTGTGTGCTGTGGTAGGCGTAAATTCTTTTCAGTAAGTATATACAAGAAATTGTTAATAGCGACTACCTGTAGGGAGACAACTGGGGCTCATATAAGGAAAGGAAATTTTTCATTTTAAACTTTCCTGCAGCATTTGTATTTATTACCACATATGATGTTACTTTTACCTTTCAAAATAAGACAGGTGTCCCTGTTATTTTCAGCCATAGAATCCAGTTAGTTTCCCTCACAGTATATGTTTGAATTTATTTGTTTACTGTCCCCCATTGCACTGGTGCTTCTTGAAGACAAGGACCATGTCTGTTTTTTGTTATCATTTTTTTAATATTTTTTTTATTGATTTTTAGGGAGGGGAAGAGAGAGAGAAGCATCGATGCGAGAGTGAAACATTGATCAGCTGCCTCCTTCACCCCTCTCCACTGGGAATCGAGCCCACAACCCGGGCATGTGCCCTGACCCAGAATCGAACCGGCAACCTTTTGGTGCACAGGATGACACTCCAACCAACTGAGCAAACTGGCCAGGGCAGGACCATGTCTGTTTTATTTGCTGTTGTTATTGGCACCAATTAGCATGGCACCTTTCACAGAGTAGGTGCTCGTATTCCTTGAATGAATGAATGAGTGAGTGAATGAATGAACCAACGACAAGCGGACAAATGGAGTTTCCTGCCCTGAGTCTGACTGGGCAACGAGGGGCAGACAAGCAGGTTGAACAACAAGTGAGATGGCCGACATAAGAGGCAGGGGACAGATACCAAAGGAAGCCTGTTTAGTTTAAGGTGTCAGCTGGGAGAGAGCGGCAGGTGATCTGTGTGGCGTGGTGGTCTGAGTGAGGAAACTGCCTGAGATGAGGGAGGAGGGCACCCGCTCCCATTGGCTGGAGGCATAGCCCCCTGTCCTCACCTTCCTCTTTTCTGGGGTGGTTCCAGGTACCAGCTGTCTCCTTCTCCATGGCGCTGGTTTGCTAAGGGTGGCAGAGGATGAGTACCCAGGGCTCTCTGGTGTCAGTGCGCTCTTTTCATTCTGTTCCATTTGGCCTTGTAGGAAAGTAGCCAGGCAGGGCATGTGAGGAGGGAGAGAATTAGCTTATTTATGGTTATTGGCATCGAGAAATACCCAAGAACAGAGGACATTGAGCCTCAGGCAAAGTGAAAGCTGTTCGGCTACAGGCAGTCTCTCACCTTCCACTATCGGAGGCGTCTCTGAAGGCACTGGGCCTTTGCAAAGAAAGCTTGGGAGGGTGTGGACAAGCTCGGGGTGCAGCCGGACTGAAGTTGGAAGCCTGGCTCTGTTATTAATGGTTCCACTTCGTGCAAAGTGCTCACTGTTCCTCAGCCTCAGTGTTCTCATCTGGAAAATGGGCAGGAATAAGTGAGAAAATGAAGGTAGAGCCCTGTGGCTTCTCTCCATGCGCAATATTATATCTTTTAAATGAATAAGAATAGCATGGCACTTAGTATTTTACAGAGATTATTGCATTTAGTACAAGAACTGTGTGCAGTGGGCAAAATTATACCAGTTTTACAGATGAAGAAACTGAGGTACAGAGAGGGTAAAGTCATACAGCTGGTACGTGGAGGATTCGAAGCCGGCTATCCTGCCTCCAGAGCCTCTGACCTTAACCACCGGACAGGAGTCCTACCCATATATTTAACTAGCTCACTGTTTCTTTGAATGTTCTTCCTCTTATTAGCAGCATATAGGAAAATGAAAATAAAGTTGACATAATTATTCATTTTTTAAAAATAGTGGAAGCTTTTAGCAGCAGTACTATAGCAGACTGTTACATTCTTTTATTGTCTCTATTAGAATTGTGTGCTTTTGAATGTTAAACTTGACAACCTGAATGAGACCGGGTCATGGTCCAGGCTCACAGATTAAGTAGCCGAGCTGATTGCAGGCAGAGCCAGACCATTTCCTGTAGGTAATTTTATGAAGAGGTGGATTTCTCAAATCCATTTTTTTCTTCTCAGTTTGTTCATGGCATATACGTGTGTGGTAGATGAGGAAGGGGGGGAAGGAGAGAGAGAACAAAAATTCCCAAGAACATATTAACTACATGAGCAAGTACTTGTCAGTGATTATAAATCAGAAACTAAAATTGTGAAGTTCTTTGAAGTTTGCCCAAAATCTGCTCATAGCCACCTGTTCCACTGGGGCCGGGAGTTGGATGGCCTGACTCTGCTGCGATGGCTCAAGCTGTCACTGCACCGGAATGTTCCAGCTTGCCTCGGCCTGGCTGTCAGCGCTGGCTCTGTCCCACTCAGGCAGTTCACCGGGTTCTGTTGGGCACCAGGCTTCCAATTAGAGAGAAATCCCACTGTGTGGCCAGCCCCACCAGTGCCACTCTGAGAGGCCCCTTTGCCAAGGCCCGAGCTGACCTCTGATCTGTCACAGATGGGCCAGCCCCACACTCCTTTGTGCACATTTGGAGGAGGAGGTGGGGATGAAGTGAGAAGCCTGTGGGGAGTCAGAGTGGACATTGGGCCGCAGTGCAGTCCTCGGGGCTGGGAGAAGCTGGGCAGAGTTGACAGGACCCAAATGCTAGTGTTGTGGAGGGAAAGGGGACTTTGGGAAGACCCCATCCTGAGCCCTAAACTCAGCATGGGGCATTTTCTTACCAACTTCTGAATATTCATCTCAGGCTGGACTCCACGTCCGAGGAGAGCCAGGAGCAGCTCACTGGCTCACTCCAAAACTGTCACACTGCTGATAGCTCATGGCACAGCCAGCCTCCCCCTGCCCGCTGCAGGGTCTGTACAGACATCGCCCTGGACTCTGGACGGCACTATCAGCTGCTGCCCTCCCCATGGAGTATTCATCACACAGAGCAGAGTGAAGAAGAAAGCTAAATTTCTATTAGCATAAGAAATAGAACCTTCGAGAATCCTGTCTCTGATTCTTTAGCAGGAGAGAGCTACAGTCTGAGCTCTGAACAAGTTTCTAGGTAGAGGACTTGCTGAATGTGCTTCATCACTTGCGGGGGGGGTGGGGGTGTCTCCTTTATTTCCTCACCAGCCATTTTTTTCCATTATATCCCTTCCGTTCTTTTAATCACTCCGTCTCCACCTGTCCCTTTCTCTCTCTGGTTTTCCATGTCTCCCTTGCCTACTTTCTCTTTTTCTGGATACAACACCTGTAGCACCACAGTCTAAAGCAACAGTAAAGATACCAGGCTTGGAACTGACACATGTACTTGGGCTTCGCTTGACTAGAGCAGCCACAAAGTCTAAACACTGAACAGCCAGAAAGTGGCGAGGGCCTTCCCAGCTCGTCTTGAAATTATTCTGCATCTCTTTTAAAAATAGAATAGAATTTTAAAACTGAAGTAAAAGAGAAGTACCATATGATTTTACTCATGTGGAATTTAATGAGCAAAATAGAGACAGGCTCATAGAAAGGGAGCAGGCAGACAGCTCTGGTGGGGGAGGGGGGAGGGATTGAGCAAAAAGAGAGAGAGAGAACTCATGGACATGGCCAACAGTGTGGTGAGGGTGTGTGGGGGGGTGGAGGTGGGAGAGGGAAGAGGGGGTAAATGGTAATGGGAAAAATGAAGTAATAAAAATAAATAAAAATAAAATTGAATTCAATCCATGGAAGCAAAAATGAAGGGTTTGTTGTTTTTTCCTTTTCACTTTTCTTTCCTCTCTGGGATTTTTCCTCCTTTTGATATTTGCAGTGAGTTTGAGAATCCCAGGCCTGTCTCAGCCCACTTGGCTTTTTTTTTTCCTTTTTTTTCACTTTGACCCTCCCTGCAATCTGGTTAAAACAAAGAAAACCCCTCTACCAGTCAGTGGTGCCCATTTGGAGAAGGAAATACAAAGGTGTTAGGTTGTCCCAGGAGAAGATGGGCTATTTGTACCTTAGGCCAGTTGCCACAGTTAAATGATGTACTATCTGTTTCTCCATTCACGTGACTTTGTTAAATTGGTGAAAGAAATGGCTTTGGGGCTTCTTCTATGTCTGTATGTCTGTCTCATATGGAGGGTTCAGAGAAGGAAAGTCTCTATGACAGCAAGAGCAGTGTCATCTTTAGAAGCAGCACTGTTTTTCTAATAGACCTGGCAAATGGAGGCCTGATCTTGGATACATGGCTGGGAGCCAGGTGTGTCATTAGGTATAAAATGACCTTCAGATGCAGGCTAAGGGCCAGGAAGACTGTGACGGCTGCAAAGGCCTACGATGAGCTAATGCATGTGTGGACCTTGGTCATGAGGAGTTGCGCTCATAGTGACACTCACCTCATGGTGCTGCACTTTCTCAGTTCCTCTGTCTCCGACCGTGCCAGGCTCATTCATTGATTCCCCTTCTTTCCTCTCCTCTAATGTAGGCCCTTTCCCAAGTGCTGTCTGGGACTCTCCTCATTTCTTTACATTTCTCCTTGGAGACCCACTCCAGTGACTCCTAACCTGGAGTGCACATCACGACCACTGAAGAAATCAGGGAAAAATACAGATGCCTGTGCCCCACCAAGGAGGTTCTAATCCAGCTGGTTCTGGGGTAAAGCCAGGGGTTCGGGAATTGTTGACGTTCTACCTTTGATTCCAATGCACATCTCTAGTTCAGCCTGACTGGGAGCCCCTGGAGGGCAGAGACTGCATGTCCATTCTACCCCCAGCCCACAGCCCCATAGCCGGCGTGTTTATAAGTAAACGAAGAGGCAGGCAAGCTCCTTCCTCGTGCTGCTGAGAGTTTTGCCGCCGCCTCTCGTTGCAGATATTCTTGTTATTCCGGATCTGGAAGAAGTACAGGAAGAAGACTTTGTTTTGCAGGTGGCAGCCCCTCCCAGGTGCGTTAAATTAGGTAGGAAGCTGGAGGGAGGCAGGGAGCATGTGAATGAATACGGTCCAAATACCATCTACGGTGGTCTGCCCCCCAGTGCAGACCCAGATGTTTCTGGTGATGGGCTCCCTCCCGGGTTCCCATTTTATTAGACATTTTCTTCCCACTTTGGTCCCCTAACTGCCTTGGAGGCTCTGGGGACAGTGGCCAGCAGCATTCCTGGAACTGGTCCTGCATATGGTCCCTCCTCACATTCTCTTTCCTGCAGCGTCCAGGTAAACCGGGTGATGACCTACCGTGACCTGGACAATGACCTCATGAAGTACGCAGCCTTTCAGACCCTGGTGAGTGGAAGGGCTCCTGCATAGAGGGGTGGGCTCCAGGCAACATCCTTAGGGATTCCTCAGCTCCTCCATGGGTCTCTAAGGCTGCCTGGCAACAGTCCCTTTGCCAGAGGCATCATCCTTGGGTATTACAGCATCTCCAGGCCCAGCAAATTCCAGGGCTTGCCAGCGCAGGCTCCCACCTACTTCCATGGCTGCCCACTTGGGGTCAGTAGGTACACTGGCCCTAGAGATGCCCTGCCTTTCTGTTGTTGACCGTCCCGCAGAGAATGCCCAGCCTGTGGGATGTCGTGGCGTGCCCTCGGTGGCCATGTGGTCCACTCACATTTTTACTTTTAGAAGGCATTCCTGCAGCTCCGGGTGCAGGAAGTTCTACCAACCACAGCCTGATCCTCCTCACTTTGCAAGAGCTAACTGTCCGAAGGCCCCTCGAGGTGCACAGCCATTTTGTTTTTTGCATTCACAGGATGGAGAGATCGACCTGAAGCTTCTCACCAAAGTCCTCGCGCCAGAGCAGGAAGTTCGGGAGGTACGTAGCAGGAGCAGCTTCTTACCCCCTCAGCCGAGTCATCCCTGTAACCAGCTGGCTCCCCAGGCTGGCTCCGCAGGCTGGCCTCCGCCTCCCTGGCTGATGGATATGGGAGGCGGGCTGTGGTTGCAGGGAAAGGCCTTCCTTTGTCTCACCCAGCAGTACCCCTCTTGGCAGGACGATGTCAGCTGGGACTGGGACCATCTGTACACTGAGGTGTCCTCAGAACTCCTCACCGAGTGAGACCTGCTGCAGAGATGAGGACCCCAGGGGACAGTCCGCGCACACGTGAGCCCTTGGGGGACAACAGACCATTCTCTCTGCACTGAGTAACCTCTGCTTTGGATAAGCCTAAAACCAAAAAAGCTTGCAAGCAGCTTAGACTTTTTATATGGAATATTTTGTATTAAAAATATTTATTTTCAGGAGACCACATTGGAACATTCAGTTGCAATAAATTGCTTTCTTCTGTGGCTATCTCTTCCATTTCTTTGCAGTGCCCTCTTGGAAAGATTCCTCGAGGTGAAGGAAGCAGTTTTTAAACAATCTGATGGGAACTCTCCCCGCTGTGGAAGAGTGTGGGGGGAGCTAGATCAGGGAGAGAAGGAACGGCACCCCTCCTGGAAGCTGTTCAGTCCACAGAGGCCACAGCAGTTCCCAGGAGCATCTGCCTGTAAGCACCTGGGCACAGGGATGTGGGAGGTTGTAGGCCGCGCCTGCTGGGGCCCAGGGTGGGCCTAACAGGACACCTTGCTGACTGCACTTTCTGCTGCATTAGTGAAGCTGCACTGTCTCACTAATTAGGTGGCTTAGCTGAGGACACAGCAGACGTGGGTGTGATAAGGTGACCCATTCCTCACATCAGGGTTTGGTGGCTCTTCTGATAGCATTCCTCTTTCACTCTCTTCCTACAACCCATGCCTGGGGCCCCCAAAGCACGTTCCCCTTCTGCCACAGGTTCCCAGAGCCTTGTTTCTGGTTCTTACTAGCAGGGGCCAGCTTGGCAGCCCAGAGAATTGCACAGAAATGCTCTCTTAGGGAGCCCGGGACTCCTGACCTTTCAGATATGCAGCTGCTTGTCTCCATTGCTCCCCCACACAGCATCACCGCCTGTTTCTAAAATGTGCTCAGATCTGGAGCAGAGCCCAGGCCTTTTTCTAAACAGAGACATCTTTAGTTTTTGTTTTTCTCTCTTCCTCCCCAAGACATTTCACCTGAGGACAGGGACGTTCCCTGCCCGCCTCTCCTAGGTGCCACTTTGGATCAGGCCCTTGCAGGATGGCAGCTAGAAGCCCCACTACCCGGCCAGGGAGTGCAGAATGCTGCTCTCATCCTGCCTGGAGAGCCCTTCATTAAAATTCAGACAAACAAAGAGGCTCAGGACTTCAAAAACCCACTGGGGGGTTGTTTTTGTGTGACTATGTGTGCCCTTTCGCAAGCAGGCTCCCAAGCAGGCACAGAGAATGCTGGTCTACTAATTATAAACTCTGGGATTTAGTGGCTTTGGGGTCTCTTCTCCTCTGTCTCCAGAGTCATACTTTTAGCCCAGCCAGCCCCTCTTCGGAATAATCCCCATGGTCACTGAGAAGTTTCCATCCAGGCTGGTTTTTCCTGAGCCTGCATCATTCTGAAGCCCAAAGGACAAAGGCTGTGTTTCTAACACTTAATTACCGGCAAATTCACCTGCCTCAGGACTGGGATAACCTTGGAGGTCTTCAGCCTGCAGAGCACGTGGCCAGGAGTTGACTTGCTCCCTCCCTCCATTCATTTTATAATAACAGCAACAAGATCTAAGTATATTGAACACTTACCACAGACCAGGCACTTGGGCTTGCACAATAGGATTTATCTGCTTAATCCTCACAACTACTCAGCAAAGTAGATACTGTTGTTAGCCCATTTTACAGATAAGGAAACAGGCTCAGAGAGGTAAAGAGATTGCCCGAGATTGTCCATCTGCTAGTGGGAGAGCTGGAATTCAAAACCAGGCTGTCTGATGCCGCTGTGCTTCTAGCACCTGTGGCTTTGTCCCCCCTGCTGCCTTCCGCCTGGGAGGAAGATCTGGCTCACAGCGGGCAGAATGGGCAGTGCGCTGGGAGAAACTGCCTGTCCCCCTCCACCCTTGACCAGGCATCCATTCTTTGTATGGAGTGACCATGGGGCAGAGGGTTTCTGTCGCGCTTGGACGTGAAGCCCCTCATCGTGGCTGAGCTCGAGTCCTGGCCCTACGTGGGTGGGGATGAAGCCGGTGGACCTGGGAGAGGAATAGCACTCAGTTACGTGAGCTAAGCCTGGACAAGAGCCAGGTTCGGGCCATGTGTGGCGAATTCTGTCATCTGCCTGTGCCCAGGCCACGCCCTGTCTAGGCTTCATCCTTTACAGTGCACTTGACATCACCTCTTCAGAGTTCCTGGAGAATGACAGGCTGTTCCAGAACCTACACCCACCCCGTTCTTACTCGATGTCTGCGATACCTTATGTCCCAACCAGCAGGGCTGCCCACCCAGACTTCAGAGGGCCTCCCAAGAAGATGGCCCACGAGGTATGGCAGAATGCACAGGCACGTGCAGGTGCCCGCAGGGGGCTTCTGTGCAGGCATGTGGGGGAGGCTTGGACTGTCTTGGTACAGCTGTCTCCATGCATTGTGTTGACTGGTTCCTTACTGGTTTCTCCTAGACTGCTCGTATCACCTCTGAGCAGGCTTGAGAAGTCCCAGCTGGCCTCTGGAAAAATCTCCAGTGGTCTCTTTGTTTTGCTCCTTCCTAAGATATTGGTTGCTACTTAGTACGTGCCAGGCTCTGTTCTAGGCACTGCAGAGACAGACCGAGATGAGGCAAACTCCCTTCCCTCCTAATACACCCGGGGAGGGAGATGGACAAATAAGGGAAATAGTGTGTCAGATAAGAATAGATGCTACAGGGGAAAATAAGGCAGAAGAGGGAAGGGAGTGCTGGGGTGGAGGTTGCAATTTTAAAGGGCGGGGGGAGGTCGGGGGAGGCCTCACTGAAAAGGTGACATTTGAAGAAGGTAAAAGAAACAAGATGGGTACCTGTGGAACAGTGTTCTAAGGAGTGAGAGCAGTACTTGCCAAAAAGTGGCAGGAGGCCCTGGCCGGTTGCCTCAGTTGGTTGTTGTCCTGTACTCCAGAAGGTTGCAGTTCAGTTCCTGGTCAGGACACATGCCTAGGCTGTGGGTTCAGTCCCCGGTCAGGGCACATTTGGGAGGCGGCCAATACAATTGATGTTTCTCTCTCCTTCTCTCCCTCTCTCCTCCTCTCCCTCTCTCCTTCTCTCCTTCTCTCCTTCCCTCCCTCTCTCCCTCTCTCCCTTCCTCTCTTCCTTCCTCTGTCTCTAAAATCAATAAACAACATATCCTTAGGTGAGTATTTAAAAAAAAAAAAAAAAGGCTAGCAGGAGGATGAGCACCTGGCTTGTTTGAGTAGCAGCAGGAAGCCACTGTGTCTGGGGTGGAGGGGACAAAGGGAGAGGAGACATCCTGTCTAGCTGTGCTCAAGGCCTGGGCCTATCACAGAAAAGATCTTGGGTGTGGGGGTCTACTCCCTTCAGAGTCACCCACACTCTTAGGCCTCTTTGGGTTTGCCTGGCAGCCTTTGGAAAATGTTATCCAAATGGCTGCACGGCCTCTTCGTGCCTTGGTCTGGCGGAAGCCAACAGTTAATGCTGTATTGAGAGAGAGGGAAACAATGAGCTCTGTCTCCTACAGACCAGAGGTGAGGAGGCTGCTGCCAGCTCCCACCAGGCCGGGGTGTGCTGAGGTGCGGGGAAGACAGGGCGGCATTGTACGGTCCCAGTGTGGAAGGCTCGCTGGGAACCTGCAGCTCTGATGACAAGCTCAAGTGAGCAGCTTCGTCTGGGCAGGCCTGTGACTGAACCTAAGGTATTTCTGCCCCTGAGTATTGGCTCATCTTTGCTAATCCCCAGGACATTCACACAGGCTTTTGGAACAACGTGCTCCAGGCAGAAACCGATGCTAGTGCCTTCACCAAAATGTGCTGCTTACGTACATCAAGGCCTTTCTTGGTTAGTGGTTAGGGGCACTCCAAGGAGCGTTGGTGCTGGAGACCTAAATGAAAGGTAGTGTTTGCTACAGCAAGATAAGACAGCTTACCGCCCTTGCTCTGCTTGCCGAAGCAGTGCTGTGCTTTTCTGCTGGGGGCCAGGGTCAGTGGGGAAGGGGTAGGTGGAGGAGGTAGGGAGCAGTGGCAAACAACACAGATTCTGGAATCAGGCGGGCCTGGGTTCCAGTCCCTGCTCTTCCACTTAGCTGTGGGTCCTTGTGCGAGCTGCGTTCCCTTTCTGATCCTGTGTTTCTCATCTGTAAAATGAGGATAATATTCGTACTGTCCTCTTAGGATTGTGATTCCCAGTAAAAGCTGACTGCTGTTAGATTTTAGAACTGCATGTGATTGAATAGTGAACGTAGGATAGGTCACATTGGATATTTTATTGCAGCAACACCTGTGCTTTGCTAGGGGATACCACCTTCATTTCCCCCCATGCATCATTCAGCCACGCATAGAATGGCTTGGCACTAGAGTTTTTTGGTTTTGTTTTTACAGCAACTTTATTGAGGTAGAATATGCATGCCTTAAAATTCACCCACTGAAGTATACAATTCAGTGGTTTGAGTAAATTTATGGAGTTATGCAACCATCACCATAATCCTGTATGTGAACATTTCATCACCCTGCAAAGTTCATTTACAGTTAATTCCGCGCCTACTCCCAGCCCTAGGCAACCATTGATCCACTGACTCTCTACGTTTGTACATATGAATGAACTCATATAATATGTGATCTTTTGAGTCTGGCTACTTTCAAGTAGCATGTTTTCAAGGCCCATCCATGTCATAGCACGTATCAGTAGTTTGCTCTTTTGATTGCTGAAGGTATGCCATTGTATGGATCTACAGCGCATTTTATTTAACTGTTCATCCGTTGAGAGACATTCGAGTTTCCAGTTCGGGGCTATCATGAATAATGCCCCTGTGGACATTTATGTACATGCCTTGGTGCGGACATATATTTTCATTTCTCTTAGGTAGATTCCCAGGAGTGAAATTGCTGGATCATATAGTACGTTTATGTTTAACTTTCAAGAAACTGTTTCCAGGGTATCAGTTCTGTTTGTTTGGTTTTTAGTGTTTTAGGGTATCAGAATTAAGTTCTTATTTTTTTCTTGTCTCCTTTCCACAAGTTTTTCCACAGTTGCTATTAAATTTATAGGAGGCTCATTCTCCTGCCCCCCCCCTTCTTCCTGTCACTCTGCTTATCTCTGTTTAGAGAACACAGAGCTCACCTGTTTTCCCCCCCAGCCTGCGAGCTTCCTCAGCATATTCCAGGGGTCAAGTAGAATAAGACGTGGCGCTACCCCCAAGGAGCTCACAGTCTGGTAAAGAAACAGACAAGCTTCATCTATATTTTCAAAGCATTGGTTTGGAAAACCAGAGAGGCTTTC